AGATGTTAAGACCAGTAAATCAGGAAGAAAGCACAGGCAGAGGCAGGTAAATGAACACGATGGTATTAATGGGCTGAAGTGTGTTTATTTCAATGCAAGGAGTATTTATAGGTAAGGCACAGGAGCTTAGAGCCTGGATCAGTACATGGGACTATGATGTTGTGGCCATTACAGAGACTTGGATAAGAGGGGGACAGGACAGGCTGCTCAATGTTCCAGGGTTTCGTCACTTTAGACGAGATAGAGAGGAAGGTAGAAGAGGTGGAGGAGTTGCATTACTAATCAGGAAGAATGTTACATCTGCACTCAGAGACAACATACTGGAGGGCACGTCCATTGATGCAATATGGGTACAGCTCAAAAGTAAGATGCGTGCAATCACTCTGACGGAGGCCCTATAAGTAAATTCCTAACAGCCACCAAGACATTGAGGAAAAAATACGTAGGCAGATTATGGAAAGGTGTAATAAAAATAGAGTTGCTATAGTGGGTGACTTTAACTTTCCCAATATTGACTGGACACCCTTAGAGCAAGACACATAGACGGGGCAGAATTCATTAGGTGCACCCAAGAGGCTTTCTTGAAACACTATGTGGACAGCCCAACTAGAGGAGGGGCCATACTGGACCTTGTACTGGCTAATGAGCCTGGCCAGGTGACTGACCTTTCAGTGGAAGAGCATTTTGGAAACAGTGATCATGGCACGGTAGCTCAGTGGTTAGCACTGCTGCCTCACAGCACCATGTTCCAGTAAGGAGGAAAACAGGATGGCAAGGTAAGGGACCCTTGGATAACAAGGGAGGGGTGTGAATTTAGTCAAAAGGGAAAAAAGCATTGTAAGGTTTAGGAAGCTATAAATCAGACAGGGCCCATGAGGAATACAAGGAAAGCAGGAAAGTACTCATGCAGGAAGTAGCCATGAAATATCCTTGGCATGTAGGATTAAAGAGAATCTCAAGGCATTCTATACACGCATTAAAAACAAAACGATATCTAGGGAGAAGGTAGGACTACTCGAGGATAAAGGAGGGAGTTATGCTTGGAGGCAGATGATGTGGGCAAGATCCTAAATTAGTACGTTACTTATAGGGCCTCCATCGGAGTGATTGCACCCATCTTACTTTTGAGCTGTACCCATGTTGCATCAGTGGACATGCCCTCCAGTATGTTCTCTCTAAATGCAGATGTAACATTGTTCCTGATTAGTAATGCAACTCCTCCACCTCTTCTACCTTCCTCTCAACTAAAAAAATTATATGGACGACAGTGAAATTTGTGTGGTGCATGCTAATATGCTTGGGCATTTTGAGATCAAAGAAATGGTGTTGGATCTCTTGAAGAGCATTCAGGTGGATAAGTCCCCAGGGTCCGACGGTACCTACACCAGGTTATTGAGAGAGGCAAGAGAAGAGATTACTGCGGTCTTGACCAAGATTTTTGTATCCTCACTAGCCACTGGAGAGGTCCCAGAGGACTGGCAAGTAACTCTTGTTGTTCCTCTATTCAAGAGGGGAAATAAGGATATTCCAGGAAACTATAGACTGGTGAGTCTCACGTTGGTGATTGGGAAACTATTGGAGAGAATTCTTAGGGATAGGATTTACACACATTTGGAAAAGCACGGCGTAACTAGGGACAGTCAACATGGCTTTGTGCAGGGCAGGTCACGTCTTACTAACTTGTTTGCATTTTAGGATCGATGAGGGTAAAGCAGTGGATGTTGTTTACATGGATTTAATAAAGCTTTCAACAAGGTCCCTCATGGTAGGCTCATCCAGAAGATTAAGATGCATGGGATCCACGGTGACTTGGCCGCGTGGATTCAGAATTGGTTTGCCTATAGAAGACAGAGGGTAGTGGTGGATGGATGTTTTTCAGGCTGGAGGTCGGTGACTAGTGGTGTTCCGCCAGGATCTGTACTGGGACCTCTGCTGTTTGTGACATATACAAATGACTAAGATAAAAATTCCTTCTCCTCTGTCTTAGATGTGCTACTCCTTATTCTGAGATTACGCAGTCTGGTTCAGCGTCTCCCAAAAGGGGAACAACCTTTGTGCATCTCCCCTGCCAATCCCTCTAAGAATCATGTATGTTTCACTAAGGTTGCTTTTCATTGCTCTATATTCCAAGGAGTACAGACCCAATCTGCTCGACCTTCCTGACAAGACAGTCCCTTCATATCAGCCTTGTGCATCTTCTCCAGAGTGCCTCCAATGCCAATACATCTATCCTTCAAAGACAGGTCTTTGTCTAATTGCAATTAACGTCAGTCAAAAATAATGACTCATTCTGATCTAATTTTCCAGTGTTTCGTTCATATTTGTGTCCCTTGCCACTGCCAGGACACGTCTAAATACTTAAGTGTTATGAGGTTTTCTACAACTACCACCCTTACAAGCAGTGAGTTCCATATTCTACCAATCTCTGAGTCATTAAAGTTTTCCTCACATCCCCTTTAAACCTCTGCCCTTATCTTAAATCTATGCCCCTTGGTCATTGATCCCTCCGAAGAGAAAAGTTTCTTCCTGCCAACCCTCTCTGTGCCCCTCAATTGGATACATCTCAATCTCATGTCCCCTCTCAATCTCCTCTGTTCTAAGCAAAACGTCATCAGTCTGTTGAATCTGTCTACCGAACAAACTCTCCAGCCAGGCAACGTGATAGTAAATTTCCTCTGCACCCTCTCCTATAGTGTGGATTCCAGGACTGCACACAATACCCAAGCTGCGGCCTAACCAACATTTTATAAAGTCCAGCATAGAACCCTCCCTGCTCCTAAATTCTGTGCCTTGACTAATAAAGGCAAGTACATCATATGATTAATTAACCACTTTCTCCAACTATCCGGATACCATAATGGACCAGTGTTAATGCACACCAAGGTCCCTCTGATCCTCGGTGCTTCACAGGGTCCTATCATTCATCTTGTATTTCCTTGTTTGTCTGTCCTACCCAAGTGCATTACCTCACATTTATCTGATTGAATTCCATTTGCCACTGATCAGCCCATCTATATCCCATTGTAGTCCAAGAATATCTTCCTCACTATTTTCCACCCAACCAATATTTGCATCATCTGCGAACTTACTAATCAACCCACATGCATTCAAGTCTAAATCATTTATATAAACACTGATCTCTTTGGGACCCCACTGAACACAGACTTCCATTTGGAAAAACACCCTTCAACCATCACCCTTTGCTTCCAGACACACAGCCAGCATTTGATCCAATCTGCCAAATTTCCTTGCATGCCATGGGCTCTTAACTTTGTTATCAGTCTCTCATACTGAATTTTATCAAAAGCGTCGCTGACGTCCAAGCAGACTACACCAAACAGTTTTTTGCACTTTTTCTGTAGTTACATGCCTCGTATTTATTTCCTTTCCTCCTTTTGCCCCTTGATTACTTAGTATTTTTAGAATGTTTAGTGTCTTCTACTGTGAAGATTGAGACAAAGTATTTTTTTTCAACCCCACTGCCATTTCCTGGTTCCCTATTGTTATTTACTCAGCCTCATTCTTGAAGGGTTCTATGTTAATCTTAGCTTCTCTCTTCTCCAGCAATTTGTTTTTGTTTCAGCTATCCTTAACTTCCCTGGTTTACCATGGTTGGTTTACCACTTCCTAGAGCCCCTCTTTCACACAGAGATAAATCTTAGCTGTGAGCCATAAACCATTTTCTTAAAAGTCTGTCATTATTCCTCAAGTCTTTACTGCTAAACTCCTTTCCCAGTCCACCTCAGATAGTTCTGTCCTTGTTCCTTCGTAATCACTTTTATTTAAGTTCAGCACAAGTTCCTCCCTCTCAAAACTGTACATTGTATACTTCTGATCACTACACATTCATATGAGTAGGACAATCCTGGAAACATTACAAGGCAAATTTACTGGAACATATCCAGGGAAGAGGGGTTTAAGCTCCCAGGTTAGTTGAGAGAAGTGGATCAGAGGAGATTGAAAAGTGATTTAATAACAGTATATAAGATTATGCCAATTCAGACAAAGTAAAGCTGTCTCATTAGCTGATGGTGCAAAAACCAGGGAACAAAACCAAGAATCTGGGCAAGACATACAAAGAGTGATAGGAAGGAGAATTCCTTGTTTAAAACGCAGTGGGTGATAATGACCTAGAGGTCGACATATACGAGGGTGACAGAGGAAGAAACTAGATTTCAAATGGAAGCTGAACACACACACCTGAAAAAGACAAGCTCGCAAGGCTCAGGATACAGGGGACAAACAGGTCTGGACTGCTCTACAGAGATGCATCACAGCCTCAGTAGGCCAAACAGTCTCCATCTATGCTATATCCCACTGACTGTGACATGCAAACCAAAGCATGTACTACTGAATTTCACAAAATACTTAGATGCCTTTTCCAATTTATGTAAACTTACTGTTTACAAAGCAGGAATCAAGCTCCTTGCCATTTGGAATTGCACATCATCAGCTTCAAATACCATCATTTAATTGATTGTGCTGTGGTTGGTCATATCCACAACTACAATGGTCTCCTTTTATAACAAAATTAAGAAGACACTGCAGATTCCAGTATATCACCATCTTTAAATTCTGACAGAAGCAACTTCTTATTTGGAATGTTTCCTCCCCTTTGCAAATATTTAACTAAGTTGCAGTCCCATTTGGAACACTATTCAAATAACTGGTGAATACCATATTTGCTAAGTGTGATATATCACAACAATGGTGTCAATTCTAAGAAACGCTATTCACATGTTGAGCCAGAGATCATTTGAATAACAACTGAAATCGAGTTAATATGGAAAATTCAGAGCAGGTGGTGGCATTGGTTGGGGGCTTTGCCACATCACTGCCTATTTTTAGTTCTTCTCACAAAAAAAAAGTCAATCATTGCTTTGCATTTGTCAGGTGCAGCGTTACCAGGTCATTATTAACCCACATTATCATGTATGCTAATGACTAATTGTTATTTTTGACAATGTGGTTCCTTTAGGAAATGCAGAAAAAGTGCTTACCATTCAATAAGAACTCCTTTTAAGACATTAACCATCTTTCATGAGTCACTGATGATCATCAAATTGCATATGAACTAAACTGCACAGAAAGTTAATCCTTCAGAGCTAAAGAAGATCAGAGACAAAATTTAAACATTATAAACACGTTTGATTTCCAATAGGGAACATAAAACAGTTAGTAATTCCTCATCAGAATGTGTACAAAAATTACAGAATAAAAGACTTCAGGCTCACTACTTTCTCTCCATTCAGACCCAGTGTGATGACATATGTCATGCATCAATCCTCCACATTAATATACATTTGGCTTGATTGGGAGATTTATTATATATGCTATAAACAAGACAATTATTAAATATACTTTATGGATAATATTGTCAATTCATCACCACAAATTGACTTCACCAGCACACAATTTGGACATGCAATACTCAAATTATTGTGTGCAATACTCAGAGCATAGCTATGCTGCTTGGTTGAGTTTTTATAGTTCAAGCGCACATGGTGAGCATTATAAAAGATTCACTTATGCTTTTCTCACATGCGTATTTGTTTCAGCAATAACAGTGTTCATTTTATTTGCATTGGACAGACATTTGCCAATGGCAAATACAATTGATTGGGTGCAAAGAGTGAGTGCAGATGAGTCAGCTGGCGCAGGAGAGGGCAACCAGTGCAAAGCAGCACTAAAGGGCAGCATATAAAAAGAGTGGGAGGTTAGCAAACTGGTGGCCACTGAGAGGAGCTTCACCATTTCATTGATGGTTTACGGGAAGAACTCTTCATCGTCGTGACTCACAAAGGGGTGTTAAAAGCATTTAGGTGTTGTCACTGGACCAGTGATTCTGAGCCCCAGGCGCATGTTCTGAGAGAAAGGGTTCAAGTCCCAATTTGGCAGATGGTGATATTTCATAGATCATAGAATCCCTACTATGTGGAAACAGGCCATTCGGCCCAACAAGTCCACACCGCCCCTCTGAACAGCATCCCACCCTGACTCATTCCCCTACCCCATCACTAAGCCACATAACCTAAATATCCCTCAACACTGTGGGCAATTTAGCACGGCCAGTCCACCTAGTGTGCACATCTTTGGACTGTGGGAGGAAATCAGAGCACCTGGAGGAAACCCACGCAGACATGGAGAGAATGTGCAAACTTCACACAGACAGTCGCCAGAGGGTGGAATTGAACCCGGGTCCCTGGCGCTGAGGCAGCAGTGCTAACCACTGAGCCATCTGTGAAAGACCTTAAGGTCACCAGACCTTAACTTTGTTGCAAGTAAGCTTATTTCTTATTGTTTGTCTCAGTTCTCTTTTGTGAGACGGGGTACCCTCTTACTAATTGTACAGGATGCTATACGAACAAACTTGAATTGCTTTCTGGTAACCATAGGTTTTACAGTTTCCCCAAATAAGAAACTGGATTTATTATAATTGGAAGTAACCTGATATGGAAACATAGTCAGTTTTTGCCTGTGTACTATTTGCTTCATAGTTCATGTACGCAAGGATGTCTGTATCCTGGTGTATGCTCAGTTGATGAAGTAGGGTACTGTGGATTAATGTGAATGGGGTAGATGGTCACACAAATCAGCAATGAGTTCAGTTTAGTGCTTGTTCGTTGGCAGTTCGTACGTACAGACACTTTCATACTTTGAAATGTGCTGAATGGCATCATTGTCCCTCTTAAGTTATAGGCCTTTGTTTTTATAGACAAAATTTTATTTGCTTTCAACTCTGATATTTCTAATGTACTGTTCTTTAGCACTTAAAGTGAATTTTCTGTTTTATTTAGGTATTCGCCAGCTATCCAGATTATGACCTCTCTGACAAAAAGATATTTAAATTCACTAAAACCTGGAATTAAAAGCTAGTTTAATGATTGCCATATAACTATTCACAAATATGTAGAAACTCAGACATAGAAAATAGAAGCAAGATTAGGCCATTTGGCCCATAGAAATTGCTCTGCCATTAAAGATGATTACGGTTGATCCTCTATCTCAACACCATACTCCCACTCGCTACATCAAACCCTCAGCACATCTAGTGTCTAGAATTCTACTTATTCCTTTTCAAAATATTAGGTGGTTGGGTCAGGTTACTAAAAATGTGGTAGAGAATTCCAGAGTCATCACCAAGTGATAAAATTTCTCCATCTCAGTCCTAAATCTGTATCCTGAGACCATGACCACTAGTTCTAAATACCCCCAACCGGGGGAACATCATCACTGCATCCAGTCTGTCTTCACCTGTCAGAATTTCATACATTTCAAAGAGATCCCTTCTCATTTTACCCCATATCCAATGAATATAATATACTTAGCTGACCCAACTTCATCTCATGTGACAAACTTGTCAGGCCAGGAATCAACCTGGAGAACCTTCACTGAACTCCAAAATTACAAGTACATCTTTTCTTCAGTAGGAAGACCAAAGCTGCATTCAAAGCACTGAAGTGTGGTCTCACCAAGGCCGTGCACACAGCCACAGTAAGACATTGCTGCTCCTGCACTCAAATCCTCCTGCAATGAAGGCAAACATACTATTTGCCTTCCTAACTACTTGCTGCATCATCATACTTGCTTTCAGTGACTAGTGTACAAGGACACCCAGGTCTTTTGATGCATCAACATTTCCCAATTTAAATAATACCCTGCCTTTCTATTTTTCTGATTGAAGTGGGATAACTTCACACTTATCCACACCATACTGAATCTGTCGTGTATTTATCCAGTCAATTTGTCTAAAACCGCCTTGAAGTCAATTTATATCCTCCTCAAAATTCACAATCCCACCCAGTTTTATGTCCTCTGCACAACTTGGAAATGTTAGATTTAATTCCCTCATCCAAATAGTTGATACACACATATATTCTGAACAGCCTGGGTCCAAACACATTCCTGTGATACCCATTAGTCACTACCTTCTACTCTGGAAAAACAAAACCTACTGTTCCAAACTGTTTCCTGTCTGCTAACTAAATCTCAATGCAGGTAATTTACTGGCATGTCATATTCTTTAATCTTGCACACTAACCTCCTGTGGACTTTATCAAAAGCTTTCTGAAAATCTATATATACTACATCCACTGATTCTTCTTTCTCTATTCCATTTGTTACATTTTCAAAAAGCTTCAGTCGGTTTGTCAAAAATGATTTTCCTTTCATTTGACTTTGTGGCATCCCATTGATATTTCTAAGTATCCTGTCATTGAATCCCTTATCATAGTCTCGAGCATTTTAACAACTACTAGTTATGAAACAAACTAGTCTGTAATTCAGTTTTCGCTTCCGTCCTTTTTTTTTTAAAATAGCGAGGTTACATTTATCACCCTACAATCTGCTGGGACTATTTGAGAATCTACAGAATTTTGCAAGATGCCAATCAACACATCCACTATTTCCGTAGTTACCTTTATTTGCCACAGATGTTGATTATCAGGTCCCGAGGGTTCATCAACTTTCAGTCCCATTAATTTCTCCAGTATATTTTTCTTGACTAATATCAATTACTTCGATCGCTCTTTCTCCGAAGTATTTCAGATTGCACAAGTGATTTCTTTAAAAAAAAAACAATTTTGCATGGAAGAAAGAATCATACAAACAATTTGAAAAAATAATAGAAACAAATAAGCTTTGAAACGTGACTCAAAATGATTTGTGACACGGTGGGCAAGTATAGTAGATTTGAAATCTTATTGCCTCACTTGGTCATTGCTGCAAACTCATATCAGATACCCTGTTGTCGGTTTCCCTTGGTAGTCGTGCTCTTGTCTGAGAGTTAGAGATTGTGGGTTTCCTTTTGAATGCAGAATTTTAGTGCACAACTTAGGAGAACACTTTTTGACTTCAGATGGAGTACTGAAGTCACAGTCATTGTTGCACACTAGGATGCCTTTGTCACACAGAGTCCATGCTGGTACCTGTGTAGAGCAATCCAGTGAGTTCCATTCTCCCATTCTATTCCCAGGTTATAACAAGTTATCTAGGTTATTTCTTTCAAGTGTCCATTCAATTTTCTAATGAAATTATGGATCAACTCTGCTCCCAAATGGCTCATGGAAGCAATTTCCCAGTAATTACCACCTCCCTTCCCTGCTTAAATACACAAGTTGTGTCTTGTATGCCCCTGCATTTGCTGCCCATATAATTACCGCCCGTTAATGATGGCATCTTCATCTGCCTTACTTAACCCAGTCGTTCTTATATATCTTTATCAAACCTCTTTTGTTTCAAAGTGAATAATCTCAGTTTCTTTAAACTAACCTCAACGATTATAGCGCAGGAGGAGACCATTTGCCCCGAGTCGGAGTTTTTTTTTAAAAGAAGGAGCAAGTACCTATTGCCACTCTCATCTTCTCCCCACAGCTCTCCACGCTCTTCCTTGTCAGATAATAATCCAACTCACTCCTGAACACTCGACTGAATCTACCTCCACCACTCCTCTCAGGCAATGCATCCACCAATCACTATGAAAAATTCTTCTTGCGTCACCATTGCTTCTTTCTTCCTTAAGACTCTTTACAGCAATAATCTTGTACACCCTTTGGACATTTCCACAGAATGGGAATAGTTTTTCCCCCCGATCTTTTCTGCTCAGACTCCTCATGATTTTGAATATCTCTATAGGATCTCTACTTGGTCTTCTCTTTTCCAAGGAAAACAGTCCGAACTTTGCCAAACTATCCAGGTAACTGAAGTTCTTCAACACTGGAAACATTCACAAGAATGTTTTCTGCACTCTTTAATGCATTCATGTCTTCCCTAAAGTGCAATGCCCAGAGAACTGGATAGATGAAGTGCTCTAGTTGAGGGTGAAATCCTCATACACAGTCATACACAGGTTAAACATAACTTCTTTGCTTTTGCATGCTTTTTTTTTTTTAAAAACTGGGCCCTCAAATTTGTCCTTCCATTTTTAATTAATTACATTTCTTGATCAGTAGGGGAATCAAGGGTTAGAAAAATACAGGAAAGCACACGCAAGGAACGTCAGAACAGCCATGATCCTTTTAAATGGCACAGCAAGCTCTACAGGCCAAACGGCCTTTTGCTGTAGTAATTTCTAATGAGTTATTGCATCTTTCTGTGAAGACAAAACTATAGTTTAATTGCTCTGGCATTTTCTTGTTCCTCACCATCAATCTCCAGTTTCAAGCTATGAAGGACTGCATACATCTCCACAATTTCTTTTTTTCTCCATATACTTATAGAAGCTCTTACAATCTGCTGTAATGTTCCTTGCAAGCTCACTATCAATCTCTGATTAAGAAAGGGAAAATAATTGCTTGGCCCTCCTTTGCTGGATTCTAAATTGCTCTCAACCCGGAGGCTTGATACCTTTTCTAGGAATTTTATACAACTTCTCTTCATAACTAATACTATCTTTAATTACTTTTGTTAGCCATGTCTGGTTGCTTTTCCTGTTGTATTTTTGCACCAGAAAGGAATAAACAGTTGAATGCATGCATTTGTTTCTTAAATGTTCTTCCAGCAAGATGGTGTCAGAGTTGGACACTCCACCCGGAGCGCCTCTGCTCCACCCGTTCTTTTGCTTTTCTTTCTCTCTCTTTTTAGCCATCCCGCAGCAGCACAATTGACCTTGGTGCAGCTAAGTGCCGGTGCAGAGCGGACTGGAGGCTTGGAGCAGAGCAGGATAGCAGTTGGACTGGCACCTGGCATGGGCGATCAAACCACTTGCTAAGCTGCTGCTATTTGAAATTCTTTACCAGACTGTAATATCAATCCTTTAACTATGTTATAACTATCTTTATTTCTAACTTATTTTTTAGACACTGTAAATAATGCTACTACCTTTCCTTTTATTCGTCTTGTATCGAAGATTGAACCTAGGTACTTGTACCCAAGATGGCGCCATTAAAGGCAGCCATTGTAAAAAATTTTCATTGTATTCCTATGCTTCTATACTGGAGTACACGTAACAATAAAGGATAGTCTATCATTCTAAGCATTATCCAATGCCTATCCTCCTTTTAATGAAGTTACTCAATTTATCACCGTCAACTCACACCTCATACCTTCACAGCTCTTTATTTAGATTTAGGACCCTCACTTCAAATTGGACTACTACACTATCTAGTCCAAAATAGAATTCTACATTATGGTCTCCCTTCTCTAATGGGCCTCAGAAACAGACTATTAATTAGCCTTTTCTCATTGCATGATACGAAATCTAGGACAGACAGCCTGTTACCAAGTTGTTCCCTCAACATACTGATCTAAAGAAACACTGTTCACACTTCAGGAATTTATCTGCCACCATATACTGCACGTGGTTTGTCCAGTTTCACTTATGTTTACAGCAGCACTGTTGTTGCATGCATTTCTGTTTTCCTATTTAATGCCATTTCCTAGCTTACTACTATTTTGAGGCCTATAGACAACATCCAGTAATACTTTCTGCCCCTTGCATCTTCTTAGCTCCACCCAGACTGATCCTACATTCAGATTTTCTGGGCTAATATGCTTTCACGAATGCACGGATTTCATCCTCCACTAGCAACATGAAATCTTCCTTGCATTTTTCAACTGTCCTTCCAAACTACTGAAAAGCTTTAGATACTCAATTCCAAGTCCTAGTCACCCTATAGCCATATACTTGAAATCATACTGTATCCATTTACAACTATTTGCACTGCAAATGTGTCCATCTTATTGCAAATATTCTACGTATTCTGATACTATAGATTTGTCTTTTTAACATTTTGACCCTATTTGCTGATCGTCTGTTTCCTCTGGGTTTCCACTTTCAACTTTTCACTTCGTTTCCCTTTCTTCCCTACTCTAGTCCTGTGTGGGAGGGTTTATACTAGGGTAGCATGAATGGGAACCAGTGCATGCCCCTGCAAGGATATTGGTCCCAGTCCTGTCAAGGTGCAATCTGTCCAGTTTGTGCAGCTTCCATCATCCCCAGAATCATACCTAATGCCTCAAATCTAAAATCTTCCCTCCTGCACCATCTCTCCTATTCCTAAACACACTGCCATGCAGCCCTGGGAGTAGTCCCCAAATTACTACCTTTGAGGCCCTGTTTTTGAATTTAACTCCTAGCTCCTTACGTTCTGCTTATCATACACCCTTTTAACTTGTGTTCTTAGACATGGACATGAACCATACTCTCTGGTTGTTCATCTTACCCCCTTCAGAATATCCTGGAACCACTCAGGGACATCCTTGACCACACACCAAGGAGGCAACATACTATTCTGGCTACAGAAACATCTGCTTCCCTCATGACAGAATTTTGTACAACTATTGCTCTTCTCTCCTCTTCCTCACACCCCCAACAGCTGCGCATAGCGCAGCCACTTGTGGTGCTACAGACTTTGCAGACTGAAAGAACATGTGCACATACCGCACCTTTTTCAACTCAATTAAACAGGCGACAGCTATTCTCTCCTTCATTTCTCAGACAAATCAGAGTCAACCTGCCTGGTTTAAAATTTACACAAAACTTGAGTTACCTGTCAATCACCACCTAACTGGTGTATTCCCCATGGCAACACCTGTACCAATCAGCACACTTCTCATACAATAAAATAGTTGCTCCCTTACAAATTGATATTTCTTGCAAACCATCTTAAATGAGTGCAAGACAAAAAGCTTTTGAGAAAAGCGCAAGTCCTGTACTACTGAACGTAAAATTAAAACACCTCTACTACAATTCTCAATGGATCAGGGAGAATTCCACTGCTGTCAGTACGTGACTCTCATATCTGAATTTAGGCATCTTGAATTGTTTTCTTTTCTTGTCCAGATTCAATTTCATCTGGTGAACTCTCCAGCACTGATATAAGAATGTGGTGTGCAATGGCTTCTTCTATCATTTCAGCACATCAATAGACCAGCAGATAACACCAATCACTTCCATTCCAGAAAAGTCAACAGCTGTCTCATATTGTGTGGTGATGGTCTTCTGAAGAAGCTGAAATTCCAAATTGCAGGTACCTCTCAAACATCATCCATAATGTCACAAGAAAGTTTCTGCATTCATCCAACTTCACTTGCTAGTATCCACCACAAGGAGAATAGTAAAGATCTTTGCCTTGGCAAGTTATGACAAAATGTCTTCAATGGTTAGCAGGGAGTAGTAAGATCTCTTCAAGGTTTTATTGAAGTCCTTCCAGGTTATTTCACCGCTATTACTTTGCAAACCAATCTGTATGAGTTGCCTCTTCCTTGATTCATTCCTCCTTTTTCAACTTCTCTTGATTTTCAGGTGGACTTGAGAGCAGCCAGATCTCTCCAGATGCTAAGCTGGTCTCACCTGTTCATCTATTTCAAATTATTTACCAGGGTGACAAAGACCTGTCGAAACATTTTCCTTTAGGATCTGTTCAGCAGTGTGGTCAATCAATCAGTGAAACCAAGGTTACCAAACCATGCTTTAAAAACTTTTTCAGCTGGGATGAGTGGATATTGTTTAATGTTTACTTACACTGAGTACCGTCCCATCAAATAGTCTCAACTTGGCCTTCGATGGCTTCATTTTGCATTGTTGGTGCAATGGTAATGTTCTTGCCTTTGAGCCAGGAGGCCTGGATTCAAGGTCCACCTACTCCGGAGGTGTATAATAATATCTCTAAACAGGTCGATTAGAAAACATATACATAGCACCAGTGTCTTTCTGACACTTAACTTGATGCTTTACTTCTGCAGTCATCATTCCAACAGTTGCACACAATTTACTATCAAGTGGACTGAGGGACAAAAGGACCTTGGTGTTCAAGTCCATAAGGTGTCAGCACAGGTAGACAGGGTGATGAAAAAAGCATACAGGATGTTTGCCTTCATTAGCTGGGGCATAGAATATAGCAGCAAGGAAGTCTTGTTGCAACTTTGTTAGGCCGCAAACAGAATACTGTGTTGTTTGCTACACTATGGGGCAGATGTGATTGCAGTGGAGAGGGTACAGAGGAGATTCATCAGGACGTTGCCTCGGATGAAAAGTCTCAGTTGTAAGGAGAGACTGGATAAACTGGGTTTCTTTTCCTTGGAGCAGAGAAGGTATCAGATTGGGGTATACAAAATTATAAGAAGCACAGACAGACAAGATATATAGAATCTTAAGAGTCTATTCCCTGCAGCAGACATGTCTAAGACCAGAAGGCTTAAGTTTAAGGTGAGGAACAAGTTGTTTAGAAGAGATTTGAAGAAAAACATTTTCACCCAGAGGGTAGTAGAAGTAAGGAACGTGCTGCCTGAGAGGACGGTGGAAGCAGATATTCTTGCAATACTTAAGAAGCATCTGGCACTTAAAATGCCAGGGCATAGTAAACTGTGCACTAAGGGCAGGTAAACAGGATTAGTGTGGTTTGATAAAAACCGAAAGAACTGCAGATGCTGTAAATCAAGAACAAAAACAGAAGTTGCTGGAAAAGCTCAGCAGGTCTGGCAGCATTTGTGAAGAAAAAAATAAGAGTTAACGTCCCGGGTCCGGTGACCCTTCCTCTGAGGAAGGAACTTCTAGCAACTTCTGTTAGTATAGTTTGATGTTTGTTAGTCAGCACAAACATGGTGGACCGAAAGGCCTGTTTCTGTGCTGCGTGACTCTATATAACTCCTGTCATCCAAGTAAGATGAAGTGGAGAAAGTGCAAATTACCGTAGATCAGGTCAGATCCGTAATTGGCGTCTTCACGCCCTCCCGAGAAAAAAACTCAAACCTACCATACAATATAAAAGAAACATCAGTTGGAGGCGGGACATATCTCGAGACAGCACACCATTATTATGATTAAGTAAGGATTAGCATTACGAAAACACACACGCATAACTTTTACAATTTACCGGGGAGAGGATTCAATACCCAAACTTGCTCTCTACGGAACAACCATTTCTTGTCTCGCAGCGCTAAGCGATCTGGGATAACACACGCAATTCAAACATGGCCAATCAGTTAACGGCGCCTCGAACAAAATGACACCAGGTTGGGTCAGAGTTGCACCGGAATGATTAGAGGGATTATTTAGCGTTTCAGTTCAGAGTCAGAGGAAGGTTTTCTCTGATTGGTCAGTGTGAGGGAATAGTCAGAAATCTACATTTACCTTTTTAAGTCCCAATGGTCTTGGACTCCTTGTAGAAATGTGTTTTTTTTTGTCCGCAAATTTCCCTCCAAACTGTTGTTATATTGTCTCAAATTGAATTGTCTTGTCATATGTACACATGAACATTTGGTATGCTGTATCATGCATGACTGCTTTGGTCAGTGTGCCAAAGTAACAGGATATCTTTCCACAGTACGCGGGCAGCTGGAAAAGTACATTCAATTTCTAAAAGTGTGATCAGGGAACCTCAAGCCACTCCTCCACTGACCTCCAGTGGCCTCCTCCCTCTGTGCTATACATCGACTCCAGGGCTGATGGTTAAAATCCACCCAAATATGCACCAAAGAGAGTTGGAGGCAAGACAGTTAGTGCAAGCAATGAGTCAGTATTCTGATAAAGGATTCACATATTCCACTGAAGGACATGTTAGCTAAGATGTTTCGCAAAACATGGAACCTGTGAAGTCAGCAAAGTTGGCTTGGTATGTGATTAATAAGCGAGAGACAGAGCAAGTACACCCCAAGAAAGATTAATTGTATAAAGATAAAATTGTTCTCCCCGACATTTACAGTTAAGGATGGTCGGAAGTTCCTGACCAATTGTCCGAATTTTTAAGGATTGTCCTGCTGCTGCTACTTCTACTCACACTACTACTGCTCATCCAGATTTATTAGTATAGTGCAACTCTGACTGAGACCAATACAGTGTTACTGTGCCTCTGATATGAATCAATCCAATGTAGATCTGAGCATGTTCCTGAGAAGGGAATGGTAGATACAGTGCATTAGATTGGAGTGAAAAGTCAATTTTAGTCCCAGACCAGAAGTGTTGGGATAAAAACCTTGACAAGGTTACTTAAAATAAGTCCAGTGAAACGCAAGTATGTGGTAGCCCCAGAAAAAAGCTACAGCTTATTCCAGAAAAATTGAAGTCATACGTGACTTAAATCTAGATACAGGGACTGTCGTGTGAATATTATGTGAAGCATGTTTGGGACCTGTAGCAGGGATGTGTTTTGGTATTATACAATAGTTGTTTTGTTTCTTTTCAATTTATAAAAGAATATGTTGGGATTTATTGGGTTATACTTTTACTGTGTATTTAAAATATTTGAATTTGTTATATATTTTATTGTTAAAGCAAAATCTGCAGCAATGCATGCTTATGTTTCAGTGAGAGACCACATTGTTAAAATCACAACAAATAAAAATATAATCTATAAGCTAGGGTCCTGACTGAGATCTGACTTATCCAATAATAACATCAACTGGGATCATAACTGAAGGAAGAGACGAACTTGGTGAAGTTACAATCACCAGGGAAGTAGGAATGAACAAACTGATGGAGCTGCAGGCTGACAAATTCACAGATTCACAGAACTGTTACGGTGCAGGCCATTCAGCCCCACCATGCCTGTGCCAGTTCAATTACCAAGTGTCAATCTCCTGCCTTTTCCCCATGCCCCTGCATACTACCTCTACCCAAATAATCATCCAATTGCCTCATTTGTGCCTCCACCACATTTCCAGGCAATGCATTCCATATCCTAACTAACTGCTGTTTGAAAAAGTGTTTTCTCATATCACTCTTGCTTCTTTTGCATGTCACTTTAAATCTATGCCCACTCATTCTTTTTTACTTTTTTTCAGAAGGAACAGCTTCTCCCCACTGATCATGATTTTGCAAACCTCTATCAAATCTCCCCCCGCCTTAACTTTCCAAGGAGAACAGTCCCAACCTCTTCACCCTATCCTCAGAACTGAAATATTTCATTCTTTGAACCATTCATGGGGTGGCACAGTGACTCAGTGGTTAGCACTGCTGCCTCACAGTGCCAGGGACCCAGGTTTGATTCCACCCTTGGGCGACTGTCTGTGTGGAGTTTGCATGTTCTCCCTGTGTCTGTGTGGGCTTCCTCCAAGTGCTCCGGTTTCCTCCCACAGTCCAAAGATGTGCCGGCTGGGTGGATTGGCCATGCTAAATTGCCCGTAGTTTGCTTGGATGTGTAGATTAGGTGGATTATCGGGGGATGAGTCTGGGTGAGATGCTCCAAGGGTCGGTGTGGACTTGTTGGGCTGAAGGGCCTGTTTCCATACGTAGGGATTCTATGATTATTCATGTAAATCATTTTTGCACTCTCTCCAATGCAATCACGCCGTTCCTTTAATATGCCCACAAACGTATACAATACACCAGCTGAGGTTTAACAAGTGTTTTTTACAAGTTCAACATCATCTCCCTGCTCTTGTACTCTATGCCCTTATTAATAAAGCCAAGAACAAAGTTCCCAGATCCTGATGTACTTCATCCGAGGGCATTGTTGAGGTAGAGGTCAATGATCGTACGTTGATCCAGTGCTGGGAAGGTCTGCCCAAGAAAAGATTCCGAGATAGAACTCTAACTCAATGAGGATTAATCAGACATTCATACATTGTAAGTCACATAGATAGTACTTGAATTCCAAGATCTGCTTTAGACAAAGACCTTGTTTCTTATACATTCCAAAAGTGCCAAGGTGCCTGTTACGCCTGGTCTCACCACTTGTATCTTCCCAGATGTCATTGTATCTCCTCTCTGAAGGCTGTGCTTTATTCCCATCCTTGACTAGACTCCATTGCTTTGTTTTTCTCAGTGTAGTATGGGGTCATCTTCTCATTCCATTTCCAAATAAGACCTCAGGGTTAATGCTGGTTCAGCCACAGTACATTTTCACAGAAACTCTGTCTGCTGCATCAGCATCTGAACGTATTTATGCAGTTTCTTTTAACCTGACTACTTCCTTGAATAAGAATAAATAAAACAGAATCATAAATGATTTTATATTACTGAGATAGTAGGATTTATATTACTGTAGCTTATGAAGTTATCTAAAACTCTCTAACTCATTCTAATCCCAGTTGGAACTTCATGTAGATTACAGGTTAACTCGTCATACCCAAATTTCCCCCTAACAGCATTAAAAGGGGTGGTTAATGAGGTAGTAGATGCATTTGTGTTAATTTTACAAAATTTGCAAGAGTCCAGAATATTTCCATCAGACTGGAAAGTGGCAAATCTAACTCCTCTATTCAAGAAGGTAGGGATGTAGAAAACACAAAACTATGGGCCAGTTGCCTTGACATCTGTGATGACGAAGCTGTTAGAAGTAGAAAGCCAGTTAGGAGAGCGGGTGTTGACTGAGTGAGTCGTAGGTTTAAAGGGAGTTACTCAGAAAGTGTGAGAAGGGAGAAAATTCCGAAGATGGGCATGGTGAGTGAGTGTGATGTGGGGCCTGGAAGAGGTTCGTGAAAGGTGAGCAGGGGACAGTGATTGGGAAAAGGTGTATACAAACAAATGAGCAAAAATAGATATAAATCATGCGCCAAAAATCATGCCACTCTCTGACAAATGAAAATCTACCTTTAAGAATAATTTTCATTATGCATCAAAAATTATCTTAATATCATTGCCATGTCACACTAACAGTAGTGACATGTTGACATTAACAGTGAGTCAGACAACAACCTTATTTTACGTTAGTTCATGGGAACCACATTACTCAGTGTCCTTCAAGTGTTCACTTGATAAAGCGTCTGCTATAACCTGAGACAACAAGGCGTAGAGCTGGATGAACACAGCAGGCCAAGCAGCATCATTGGAGCAGGAAGGCTGACGTTTTGGGCCTAGACCCTTCATCA